AACAGTACAGAGCACTACCATTTTACCATCTACAGCAGACTTAGTGCTCGCCACTGAGTCTACGAATAAAAAAATTGAATGTCGAGACAGAGTGAAACAAGATCGTCTGTCACAGTCAGTCAGTACTGCACTCAGTATTAATAGACTCCAGTGAAACCTCATGTACACAAATCCGATTTGATATTAAAAATGTACATTTTATTTCTAGTAAGTTAAGTTCATAATTTAGGCATGTGACAGGATACTATTATTAAACACAAACCAACAAGCAACCATTTAATGAGGATTTGATTTCCAATGAGAGATTACCTCGTGTGTATAAACATAACTTCTAGCTGCAGTGCCATGTAATAAAGTTAAAGCCATTAGAGCTCATATAACACGGGTGATACATCTGGTAGCCCATAAGATCTGCCTCTCTTCCTCCTCCAGCACACGGCCTTCTTATATGGTATTGATTCCAGTTCAAATTAAGTCTTTATTTTCAACATCCTACATTCAGAATATTATCTAAAACTGTAGCATAAGACCATGGCTGGGAGTTCTGCTTCTCTGGCTTAACTGTAGTTATAATTAAGGTCAGCTTTATGCAAATAAGCAACAGAACTGCTGTGGGAGCCAGATCAAGCCTGCAGAATGAACTCTTGTAAGATCAACACAAATTTCTACATATTTAGTCCCAAGTTCAAAGCATTCTTCTTTTGACCTTTCTTTCATTAATGAAAAAAGAAGATAAACCACATATCAGCATATAACAATTTAAGAACTGTTCCATATACTGTTTTTCCCCTATGGGAAAGAAGATGAGAGATAATAAGACACACATGACAAATCTGTCACAGTCACTTAATGCACTTAAAGCCTACAGATGCCATTGCGGTGAGGGCAGTATAAAGACAAAGCCTAAATACAGTCCTGTGAAGGAAAATGTGAATAGACAGAAACAACGGTCTAACAATGACAGGAATAAAGAGAAACAGTACAGGAACTAAAACACACAACAGCTGTGATACAAACAGAGAGAGAAAACAAAATAAAACAAAACAAAAGCCTGCTTTGTAGACAGCTAGTTTATGTGAGGTGAAAGCAGACTTAATTCTGCCTCCTACAGAGAGATTGATAGAGCTTTCCCCAAGCAGCAAGCAACAGAAAAGGGAAGCAGGTTAAGTGCGTAGAGCACAAGTTCACTGTGTATATGCACCCTTTCACATAGTGACTCAAAAGCCAGTTATATCAGGCTGCTTAACTGTGGAACTGAACTCCCAGCTTCTTCACCAACTCTGGCCTGCATCAAAAGCATCACTAAGAAAAACCTCTAACATCGCTGTTTCAATATATTGCCAGTTGCAACTCACAAAAAGACAGGAATCAAATTCATTTTCTTGAATGAAGATAACAAGTAAAGGAATCAAATAAAAACCTAAGAATTTTCTGCTAACAGCAACTTTCCTCATCCGTTATTAATTGCAAAATCCCCATTTTCCTCTGCAACTTAGCAGTATTTGTTAGAACTCTCACTTGATCCTCCAAGAAAAAGCTTGCCCTTCTGCTAAGGTCCATAAAAACCACAGAAACAAAACCACCTCTTCAAAACCACAGAAACATCTCAGCATTAGATTGTTAGCATGAGGACAGGAACATAACATATTAATTAACCTCAGGGTAATTAAACTTTTTCATTACTTTCTAGAGTAAATAATCTCCCAGATACATTTATTCTGGTCACTTATCAGATCACCAGGAGCGGACAAATGAGGAGATAAGCTATTAAAAGTAAAAATTATCCAGCAAATTTCTTGCTCAGCTGTACAGCTTTTCTTCTCATTTATCAAGCCCGGGAAGTAGTGAGCAGTGAATCAGAGTGGCAGTGGGGA